CAAAATGAGAAGATTGGTGTAGGATGTCTCCAGCTCAATGAGAGGCTTGGCTGGGAACAGTTTATCCAGCCTGCCTTTGAACTGTTTTTTACCCTGTGATGTCGACCAGCCTCCAGCTGTTCTGCTCTTAGTCCTTTCTGTATAAGCCGCACAGCCAACTGGTTGATGAGAAAAGCTTTTTTAGCATTAATGCTGTGTGGCTGTGGTTTGAAGTTTCTCTGGCAATTTGTCTGGTGACAGCAGCAGAGCTACAGCTTCTGAAGCATTGATGAAGCCTCAGAGAAAGTGATCATTAAAGCGTAAAGGAAAGGTGGTTGTTTTCGTTTAGAGTATTGATGTAGAGCCCAGATGCTCTCAAAGCCTAAAGACGTTCAGTGGTGACTGTTTCCTCGCAAACCACAGCAGCAGTTGACACCAGCTGCTGTGAGCTGGCGGTGACACAGAGCTGCCCTCTAGAGACTCCCGTTCCCTCTGGGAGAGGAACTGCAAGGGAAGGCAGTGACCTCTCAAATGTGTATTTCAAACAGTCGTCTTTGGGCTTTCCTTGAACTCAGAAGGGGAATGGATTTGGTAAAGTGCTGTAACCTCCTGCATGGGGAGAAACTCAGCTTTTTGTCAGAGGGTTTCTGCAGAAAGGTGCTTGTGCCATGATGTGCTGCTGGTTTAAATGACTTCCAGCTTTTAGCAGAAGAGAGCCTAAGTCTCTTTGTGGTGCTGATTCACTGTTTCTAACAGAAAGGCACACTCCCCAAACCCATGGTGAGTCCTGGGAAGGTCTTGACATAGCTGCTGTCGCTTGTTGTCCTTCTCCTGTCCCAGTCCTGCCTGGAATTGTTGGTGGGCAGTTGTGCCTGTGTGTCAGCCGGTTCAGTGTGGACCTTGGGCTGGCGGGGCAGGAGAGGTGCTGCCGTTGTGACCCGCTTGTGCTGAGGAGCAGCATCCGATGCAAGTCAGCCGAGTGGCTGTGCAGTGCAAGTGCCCATCGCCCACTGCACAGGCCCAGATTTGGAAAAGCTGTTTTGTTTAATATTTCAGCAAGTGTTTCGTAACAGCACTTTACACATGCTTGGAACATGCTTTGCCAGTACGTCCTCAACATTTGGCTGTAGTTTAAAACTTCTCATGGATTAACCATAGATACTTCAGGCAACTCTTCTTGCATGCCTGCAGTCATGGACAGCTTACTATAAACTGCATGGGGCAGCATCCCTTTCACCTCTGCTTTGGGCTGGGGAAGGTCGCACAGACCTGTCCTCCAGCACAGTATGTAGTTAGACTCCATTTCACTGACTTCTTTGCAAGTTGCTGACTAACCAGCAAAATCCTTCACTGGTTTGTGTGCTATGACAGAGGACTTGTCAATGTTAGTGTATCATTCAGCAGCTGGTGTCTTCTGCGTGCTCAAGCATTGCTCCTTGGTAGCTTAGTACTGACCTGCCAGAAAGCAACATTCCTTTAACTCTGGCAGTAAAAGGCAGCAGTGTTAGAGCTCTTCCCTGGATGGTGCCTTGGCTGCAGCTACGGATACAGCCACCTTCAACGAGGGTAAAGATGGGCTTGGCTGGGGTGGCTGCAAGGAGTGCCAGTGGTGAAGTGCCATGCCTTAGTGCTCAGAGGAGAGGGTACCCACCCTCGGGCCAGGTGGTGCGGTGTCAGCCTGGGAGCTCAGTCCATCCCAGCTGCTCCAGCAAGGTAGCCCAGGGTATGTGAGGCACCTCTAAAGCAGTGGAACTTCACGCTTTCTGCCCGATTTGGGAGAGTCACATGCTGTGGAGCTTTTTCTGGGGCAGGGAAGGCTGTCGAGTTCCCCTGTGTTTCACTCAGTCTGAAGCTGCAAGGACTTTGCTCTGGAGCAAGTTCTGCGGTATCTGTTCTTGCTGGTGTTTTCCAGAGGTCAGAGTCACCCTGCTGCCTCCAAACCACCAGGAACCAATGCTTCTCTAAACACTCTCCCAGCCCCCTTCTGCTGTGTGGATCTGGATGTCTCAGGGCACTGTTGGCCCTCCGTTTTGGGTATGGCAGTGCTCTGGCAGCAGCAATCCAGCTCTCCGTGAGTGTGAAGCAGGACAGTTTGAATGGCATCTGGCAGCTGGTTAGAAACCAGAGCTGCCTCAGGGCTCCAGCACAGGGAGCTGATTTGGGAGCTTCCTGAGCAGCCATGGGAAAAGCACCCTCAGGTGTTCACAGAGGGACGGCAGGAGCTGGTGAGCATCCTCTCCCAGCTGAAGAAGGTAGGCAGGAGAGCATGGCTGGTAGCCTGCTCTGGTGAGGAGCTCTTGGCCATCCCTGCTTGTTGGGTGTGTGTTGTGCCTTGCTGAACAACTGCATGTCATCATCTTATGCAGGACTCTCGGAGTGTTTGGTACTCTGCCTTGGGACAGATTCCCCCTTTGGATGGGGTGGGTCTTGGTCCACCCTTTCAAAGGGGTGAAATAGGTGCTCTTGGATCACAGGAGGAGCCCAGGGTGCTGGGCTCACAAGTCACTGACCTCGTTCTGCTCTCCTTGCTGGTGTGGCAGGCTGCTGGCCCTGGGCACAGCCCTCTGCTGGCCACAGGCTATGGGGAGGAGGCCGGGCAGCCGCCCCCACCACTGTAGGGCCCTGGTCTGTGCTTGGGAGCCAATTTTCTATCAGGTCCTGGTCTCCTCCTGCCTGGAGGGTGCTGGCTTGGACCCTGCAGGGGTGGGCAGGGCCAGCAGCTCCGGGGAGAGGAGAGCATGTGGCACTTCTCCTGCAGCACAGCCTGTTGCAGCACTGCAGCACGCTGCTGCCTCTCCCTGGGGCTGTCTGGAGGAGAGATGTGCTTCCACCCTGGCACTCCTGGAGCAAGGGCACTGCATGCGCTTGGGGCTTCCTTCTGTGCGTTCAGGCAGCCGGCACTGCGCAGTAAATCCCAACAGCCCACTGGGAGCCTCTGGGCAGCCCTCGAAGGGCAGACTCTAAATGGTTTCTGTCCGTGAGGCAATACCCTGACTGTCTGGGGCTGTGATCCAGGCACCTGCCCTTGGACAGGTGAGGTGTCTGAGGATTGCCACCTCCTAGCCTGGTAAAAGCTGGCTGTGCCTCGGGCGCTGAGCGGGCAGAGCTGGAAGTCTCCTGGCATGCAAAATGGACACAGAGCTGGAGCAAGGACTGACCCTGCCCTGACTTCCTAAGGGAGGAGGCAGGTATGTGCGTGATGGGGGGCTGGCACAGTGTCAGGGAACAGCTGACTTAGTGGTGCCAGTCTGAGCAGAGAGCAAGCAGACAAACTGCAAATGCACTTGGAGCTACAGAAGCTGGCATCTCCTGGAAAACCCTGCCCTGCGTGCCTATCCAACCTCTCCTGCCTGGGGCCCAACCAGGCCTGGCAGCAGGCAGGTTCTTCTCATCTTCACTGTGCTAGAACTGTGGGTTTTCACTGTGCACAGAAGTGACCCAAGGGCAAGGAACCCACCTGCTTGTTTTCCGAGTCAGCTGCTGCTGATCCTGGAGCCCTCTGGACATGGGCACTGTCAGTGTTCCCTGACCTCAGCTGTGGGGCTGGGGGAGAGGGAGGTGCTGAAGGCAATGCATCCCAGCTCTGCCATGGTCTCCTCTGCTTGCTCTGCTCACAGTTACCACATGGCTTTATAATTGGGTAGGTGGGTCAGCCAGAGCTGATACCAGCTGTTTCTGTGGGCCCTGTTGCCTGGGAAGGGCGAGCTCTTCCTACATGGAGAAGTGCTGGCTGGTGCAAAGCACCCTCTGCCCTGTGCCCAAAATGCAGAGTGAGCTTTCTCCAGCCTTGAGAGGCAAGAGAGACGCTGCTCTGCCATTGACCTCGGCTCTTTCTGGGCATGTCTGTACCACCTCCTCATTCCTGTGCAGTAGCTGAATCTCACCTTCAGACCACCTCCTGCCCCTGGGACCCCACTGCTTTGTCCTGCTGTGGGTGGCAACAGACTTACCACAGGACCCTGCTGAGCCCATCAGCAAAGCTGATGGTGCCTCTGTGAGAACATGCTTAAGAAAGGGCAAAAAGTGCCAGAGAGAGAGGAGGGAACAGAAGACTGACCAACAACAGAAGGTTGGAGGAGGTGCTCTGGGTATTTGCTGCAACCTGTGGAGGACCATGGAGCAGGTGGATGTTTCCCAAAGGGCCTGTGGAGACAAGCCCTGCTGGAGCAGGTTCTCCTGGCAGGGACCCCACATCAGTGCTGGAGCTCCAGCCAGCCGGAAGCTCTATGGCAGTGCCTGGTCTAGGCCAGGGCAGCTGCTCCTGCTGGTCTCAGCACTGTTTGCTGCCTTCCCTCTCACCAGGTGCCCAACAATCCCTCTGGAGACGAATGTACATGGAATGTGGATTGCTTTAGGGTGGGCGCGGGGGTTCTGCCAAGGCTGCAGGGGACAACCCCAGCCCGTGGGTGTCGTGCTCCTGGTGGCACACATGGTCATACATCACCTTTCCTGGCAGAAGCAGCAGAGAGGAGAGGAGCTGCTGTGCCAGGGCTGCAACCCCTGTGCTGTCAGGGTGAGGAGGCGAGGTGGTGCTTTGGTGATGTCTTTGCTCCTTACTACCCACATCTCTTTTTCATTGCTGAGAAGTTAATTTGCTCCAAGTTGAGCCTGTCTTGCCCGCAATGGTAGTGGGTGAGCAATCTCCCTCTCTTCACGTGGCTCACGCGCTTTCCCATCCTCTTTTCCCATCCTGCCTTGCTGAGGAGGGCAGCGAGTGAGCGGCTGGGGGGGGAGTGCTCCCTCCCCAGCACCCCAAGTGCCACAGGAGTGCAGGGTCCCCTCCTGGCTACCCCCATCCCAGAAAGGGCA